TGCTGATTTGATGCCTTTTATCATGAGTCATTGCGGTTGGTAATGGAGCTAGACAGTGTACCGGCAACTATTCTCAAGGTCGCCTGTCGCGCCACCTCTTCTGAATTTCTACTCTCGAACAGTCTCCCTCGATTGATTTGAGGCGTCAACTTAAGCGGAGTGGTATCCTTTCGCTCGTACTGCTCAATTACATAATTGGCTAGACTTTAGGGGGGAACACACGCCTTCTGGACGTGGTTAATTTTGCACCCAGGATAGCTAACCACCCTTAAATAATATGAAAATATCGCTCTCCTGTCTCTGATAAATGGGGTACTTAGTACACTCGGATAATTAACAAACGCTGTCAAGACCAAAATGTCTTCGGGCTGCTGTCTGGGCAAGGAAAGATACTCTTCAGGATTTATGACTGTCACCCAAAATAAATGGACAACTTCAAATAATTCGGGTAAAGTAACTGCCAAATCATCTGAATTGTTGCTGCCCTTGGAACCTCTCTAATCAGTAAGAAGTATACACGGAGCTTGCGCGATATCCCCAATTGCAGCAAGATCATCGTGCACGAATCAGCCTCTGTATTTTTTTTGTGAGTGCTGGATCGCGTGAATCGTTCTCCTGAACGTATTTTCAGTCTGCGATGTCCATGGTCTTTAAACCTGTTTACAGAGCGCTCGCATTATATGCATATGTACAGGCCTGGCAGTGGGTTGTCCGTTCTTGATCTCTGCCACCGATACAGAGCTCATTTGCTTCGGGAAGCCAATAAAGCAGTGTGCGCCTATTCCTGGTAGAATAAATATCCGTTCTGCGGCGACAGGGGATGACAAGTGGTGAGGCACTGATAAACTTCGGTTCGATGAAGTGCTTATGACCCATCTGCTCGACCCATTGTATGGACTACCTGTGCTGCAATCAAGCGCATGCTTTTGTTTCCAGTCCCAGCTGGTAATCAGGGTTACGATTGGCTGAATAAAGGCAGAATAAGTCTGTATCACTCTACCCGCATTCTCTGTCCTCCTTCCTCTCCGCAATATGTATATATTATAGTAGTATTCCGGCAAAGACAGGCACCATAAGATAACTATTTCTGGCTTTATTGATCTTCGTTAGCTAGGGATAGCCAACTCTAGTTTAGCTGTTAAAATTGCTGCCACACTCGAGTTTCGAACTCGCGTCTCGCCGGTCAGAGGCAAACGTTCTAACCATTGAGCCACGAGTTCGCTGTCTTGCCAGTTGTTGATCGGAGTATATAGTAGTTAATTGTACACCATTTACGGTCAATAAAGCCAGAAATAGCTATCCTATTGTACCTGTCTTTGCGGAAATACTACTTTTACATAAATATATAATATTAAAACTTAATTAGTAACATTACAATTAGTAGCCTTGCGAAAACACACTCGGTTGTTCCGAGCTCGCGAGACGTCAACCAGGATGGGTACATCCTGAAAAACAGATAGTTGTACAATTAACTACTACAGTTTGTATATATGTATACGGAAGGCCGCGGGGCCCTCACATGATCCAAACATCCGAAAGAGATACCGGTAGCTTTATGAAAGAAGATAAAATTCCTATTCCATTATGGAAAATTTCAATTTTTCAGTGCCTCGGATCCCCATACCTTCATCAAAGGTAATCGGAAGCTTACATCTAAATTATAGCTAGAACCTACCTCCACTAGAGGATTGATCCCAATCGATGCTATTACTTTGTCCTCGCAGTGGTATCGCAACAACAACCGACCATACAAACGTTAAAAAGAATAAGTTCCCCTCCAACCATCCTTTTTGTTTTTTTAGGACCAGACGGATCAGCCGATCGAGTCGGTGAGCCAGCTGGCACATGCACTAAGTTCAGATAAACTCGCAACCGACTCCCTCATCTGCCTTTACTGGCCCAATGCCAACTGCCATCTCCTGCGCGAGGACGTTGTCCTGTTGGACAGCCCTGGCGTCAATGTTGACCCTGACATGGACAGATGGATTGACCAGCACTGTCTGGACGCAGACGTCTTCATTCTTGTTGCCAATGCTGAGTCCACTCTAATGCAAGCGGTGAGTGCTGCTTCTACCCCATTCTTTTGCCCATTTGTTTCACCAGAAGGAATAATTCCTTCTTCGTCTTCTGTAGTTTTATACTTTTCCTCGACTTTGTTTCTCTTTCTTACTTCAGTCCATTTCCCTCTTTCCATTCGTCCTCCCACCTTTTCGTCTATCTCCTCATTTCCTTTCTCATCCTTGTCATTGTTCTCATCTCATTGGTCCTGCCCTTTTCCTACTCTCGTTCTCTGACTCTTCTCCCTCCTCTTTTCCCTTTTGAATTTCGTTTTATATTCATCTCTACTTCTTCTTCCACTCTTCTCTCCACTGTCCTTCATGTACTTCTTATTTTCAGCTGTTTTCGTCTTAACTCCACTCTATCATCCACTCTCTCTTCCTTCCCCCATTTCTACTTTCGCTCTCTTATTGTCCTCCTCGACTTACTTTGATTATCTTTTTCATTAGTATATTTCTCACATAAGCATTTTGTTAAAGGACCCTATAAAGTGCTCACATCGCCTTGGTGCATCCTAAA